AATTTTCAGATTAAAAAAAGGGGGAAAATCAGGAATTGAATACGAAAATGAAATGCTGAGGTTATTACGTGAGGTTACGGGGCACATTACAAACATGTCAGGAGGCACGCTATCTCCCCTGTTCGCACGCCTATGTTAATACGCAAATTAATAAATGTTCAGACAGTAATAGATCAAAAAATATTAAAAGAGATTTCAAGTAGACTACTGAGCAATGTTAATGATTTTTTTATGTTATGATCTTCAGAATAGCCACGTCCTCCGACTTGAATAAGTGCGAGTTAAACTTGTGTATAATATTATTTTTCATTTCTCGGACAACTTACGCACGCCTGTTTTCAGACTTTTTCTGGTGCAGAAACATGCGCAAAATACACAAGGTAGGCAGGTAGGTAGGTGCGCCTTCAGGGGGAAAGACGAACAGGAGTTCGCTCCCCCTGGCGAGCCGCGCGGCTCGTCTTCCGCTTTAATGCGCGCAAGTGGCGGGGCGCCCACGCCCCGGCTGCGACCACGCCCACCCCGCAAGGACGACACCGCGGAAACGCATTCGACGGCGCAAACATCGCACCGGTTCGGCGCCGACAGCTGCACGAGCCCCGATGCGCGCGGTCGAAACAGGATCTTTGTGGCGCGAAATTCAACACACGCGACGTTCTGGCGCATAGATCCAAGGCCTCCTTTACAAGGCTGTACCTGGTAAAGGTGGTCCTGGCAGGACCCTTGTATATCACTTGGCTATTCTCGGCGAGATCAGCGCTACGTTTATCAACAGATTCACAATAAATTTAAATAAATAAAACAAATTCGGGTTACTTACACCATTTATAATTCAAGAATGGCTGGACCAATTTCAATATCTCTGTTATGTTGGATTCATGACCGCCTCTATTAGCAGAATAACTAATAAAATATCGAAACAAATCACGAAAAGAAGGAAGAACAAAACTAAATATTCATGTCAAATGCAACGCGCAAACCTCGGCACAATTTCTGACTCTAAATCGTTAAATAACTCCTAAACGAAGCGTTCTAGAGAATTAAAAACTCAGAAAAGAAATGTTTCTTACATCGTAATCTACAGGATGATATCTTCTTGCACATTCTATTACATTATTGCTCGTCCAGCGCTTCTCAATATTTATTACCCCACCTGCTCAGAGACGTGCAAAATCTGCAACTAAATGTGTATGAGATGAACAGAGAGAGGCAGAGAAAGACTAACACACACACATAGAAATAGACAGAGAGAAAGAGTGAGACAGAGAGAGTGGGACAGACAGAGTGAGATAGAGTGAGACCGATGTGAGAGATACAGAGACGAAGAGAGGGAGAGGGAAAGACAGAGAGAGGGAGAGGGAAAGACAGAGAGAGAGAGGAAGAGGGAAAGACAGAGAGAGGGAGAGGGAAAGACAGAGAGGGGAAGAGGGAAAGACAGAGAGAGGGAGAGGGAAAGACAGAGAGAGGGAGAGGGAAAGACAGAGAGAGGGAAAGACAGAGAGATGAAGAGGGAAAGACAGAGAGAGGGAGAGGGAAAGACAGAGGGAGAGGGAAAGACAGAGAGGGAGAGGGAAAGGAAAGACGGAGATGAAGGGCAGAACAACGTCGGCAAGGTTCCGAAAGTAAGTGAATAAAGCAATCATAACTTCAGGTTAGATATCTATTCTTGAATCTATACATAACTGCAGCTGACGTAAATCAGCCGTTTCGGTGTCATTGTTGATCATCTGACAAACCGAAATAAATCAAAGAATAACAGCAAAAAAAAATTGTTTGAAAATAATATTCATTTTAATCGTTATTATGTATCTCGCTGTTCATTATTTTCATGATTTATTCATTTATTTCGTTTTTTTCATATATATATATATATATATATATATATATATATATATATATATATATATATATATATAAGTTGAGACAACAAAATTTTGAGAACATACAATATTGTGACTACTACATGATTATTGGTATATTTATACGGACAGAACATCTACTTAGACACAAACTACGAAAAAGACAAATTTATGACTTCATGGAAGTGGGGTGCAATTTACGATGTATATACAGTAATACACGGACATCACATACGTTTAGGACAATTAAAGTAAATATTTTTTGTCAAGGAAATGTAACACTGCGCCGATAAGATCCAAACTTCTAGAACAGGCTATTCGCGTACATCTATGTCTGCCCGACTGTCTAAACAACACTACCTCATGAACACGCGGTAATTAACAGTGCAAACTATGTTATTTTGGGGAGGGGGATCGCTCTCTCAACCTCTCACAAAATTTAGCTGAAAGAATTTTTAAAAAAATAAAGTGTGATGGAAATTTATTATATTTCATCTTCCTTTTTTAATATATATGTTCCCCAAAAATCTAATAACGTTGGAAAAAATATTTCATTTCTGTTAAAATGTAGGGTTCGTCGATATTAGCGCTGTACATTTCAGTCATTTTATGCCGTTGAAAGCACACAAAAATTGGAATTCAAGCTAAAAAAGTGGGAATTTAAAAAACAAAAACAGTGTTTTGTAAATAGTACCCATGCAAGACATAAAATAAGATTTAAAGTGTATTAATTCAACCAGACAAAAAAACAATTTTATCGAAATTATCGGTGGATGTTTAATAATTGACACACGCCCTCACACATCAATTTTACAGCAGTAAAAATCCTCTTCGTTCAAACACAACGTGAACTTAGGAATGAATATCATTCATTGAAGGGCATTGATTATACCTGTAGCGTCAAATAATATGTGTGTGTGTGAAACAATTCAAAACACTCAAATCAGATCATTATTTTATTTCTCAATCATATTGCAAAAAGGTATGAGAATTGAAAGAATTTGATAGGTGAAAGGGAAATAGATTTTGAGAAGAATGTATAAAACATGGAGTAATTATACAAGATAAAACAAACAAAATCCATCGCATAAAAGAAAATGTACTGGAAAATAGATAGTATTAAGAAAATAGTTAACTTACTTTTCTAATAACTTTCTTGGGCTAGAACCATTTCAATATACTCACAATTTAGGTATTTATTCGTTCCGATTAAAAATTAACGATACCTGCGAAATAATCCAAGTTGAAATGATGTGAACACGCAAAATCCTATTTTTACTATATACATTACGTAATACATAATATCAATTGACGCTATCACAACAATCTGTTAAGGAGTGGGAGAGTTAGAAATAAGTTGTAGCGTCATTCTAAACCTTCCAATTCTGATTGTGAACAATCAGTGAATCACTTCATGCTATCTCTTAGCACCAGGGAAAAAGACGAGTAAACACAACAACCCAATGAAAACACTGACTCTGAGTAACTCTTCTGCGACTTGAGTAATCGATACAATGCCTGTGAACGTCTAATAAAAATAGCCATAGCTAGACACTGTGACAACCAACAAGCCCGTCAACATTACCCCAAATCCACACATAATACATCTATTTTTTACTTTACAACGCTTTAAAACCGTCAGTTCACAAGTTCAAATGTCTTTTTAAGTTTTTTATATTTTTACACATTCCTGCTAAATAGAAAATTTGTTTGTAGAATTTGTTACTATTAAAAACTTATTAAATGACTTTCGATGAATTAATATAAATTTAATTCTAAAATACTAAATGTATAGCAACGTATTGAAATAACGTCATCTTCATTGCCGTTTTCGTACAGTTTCTCTTGATTAGTTGAGCAAATGCTGAATGTTTCCATTTTGTGCTTTTCGTCTTCAAATATAGATTTCGCCCCTTTCACGAACGTTTTTTGCAGATTTTTGGCGTTAAATCAATCCAACTACTGATGTGGAGAAGAAGTTCACCACATAATAAATAATTTGCTATAGAAAAACATGTTCACAACTTTTAAACGTGTGAATCGAAAGAGTCGAATGTCCTTTCGTTACAAATTATTATTGTGGCAAGATCTGCCCTAGACATTACCATGTACCTAGAATGTCGAGACCGGGCTCAAAATGATATTTTCCTCTTACGAACTAAAGACACAGTCTGAAATTTTTAATTTGTTTATATTCTAGTTAATTTTTAACTATATTTATTCACAATTGGATAAGTAATATTTAATGTTTTCTGTACATTATTACAACTATGTAATATTTTTACTTGAAATAAATTTATCACGTGAAACGAAAACTAGCGATAGTTTCGAAAAGCAACGAAAGTTATAAAAATTGACAATTAAAACGCCATTATGACAGAAAAATCGCATTTTAATCAAAGTCCATTGTTGTAACAATGCGTTTCAATTATAATGTTCTTTACTTTTTTAACCCACTGCATCCTTGCTATAACAAAAATATGTGTAATACAAGATGATAGGTAGCAGATATGAATTTCCAGGAACAAGGAACTGTAGCTGGAAATTAATAAGCAACAACTCCTTGCAGAATGTGGAAAAATGAGTGAATACACAAAACCTAAAAGATGAGATATGTGCTCATAGTCACAGCGTAGTGTTAAAACAAAACAAAAGGAGTGAGGGATTCCCAACCAAATCTATTAAAAATGCTCACAGTCTACCAGGCCAGTAAAATACCTTGGGTTACGAGACAAAGTGCCGACGTATGTTATAGGTTACGTTAGATTAAACTATAAGTATGTTAGTTTAAGTAAACCTTTTTCTTTGCGTCATAAGCTGTGTGAGATGCTGCGCGCACGACATGTAGCTCCCGAACGACAAATTATCAACTACAATAGAAGCAAGAAGAAGAAGAAGAAGAAGAAGAAGAAGAAGAAGAAGAAGAAAACACACACATGCCACCTCACCAAGCGCCCAGCTTGATACTTGTTTTATGGGCGATGCTGTTCCGAAAACTGTCTCTGGGAATAATTGCCACCTTCCCTCTGCATCATCTCTGTAAACGCGTGCTTGTGTGTGCATGTGTGGATGGGTGGGTGTGAGCACAAAGCAGAAGCGACACGCAATGCGGAATGGCACGGGTGGAAACAGGCGTCACAGCACCTATTCTGCGAAAATACTCGGCAGCGCTGCTCTCAGATGTCGAATTCCTCACATGAACATCTCTCTTCAGCGTTAATGTTTGGGGCTGATCACTCAATATTACGCACGGATGTGCGCAATATGTGCTAATCATTATGCGCGAAACGATAATGGAATTTTATTTAGCGCATCGTAGTACATCTCATCAAATCCACGAATTGACAGCTTAATAAACTGTGCTTCTTCAAATACTGAACATTAATGTCGTTCCTAGTGGTAGAAAACTTTATAAATACCTAAATCTGACAATAAACTGAATGATTTTCTAATAAGTGATGAATGAAAGTCAAGAATGAGGAACGGTAAATGATAAGGACTACTTATTTTATTTAAAATGCCTTTGTCGAATTCATACAGCATCAAACCATAAAACATAACATCTAAGGAAATATTCATTCGAAGACTGTTCTTCAACCCCCATTCATGTAGCATGAACAAGCTTCATTTCTTTGACAAACAATGCAATTATTTTTTTTAATCAATTCTTTGAACAATACAAACATCGATCGATATTACGATAACTAATTATGCATTCTTAAGTCAGCTTCACGAGCATTTTTTCAAACTTAATGAACGATATATATGTAAATTATTTTGCTTTTATGAATAAACTGTCTTAATTACTTAGATATTGGGAAAATATTCTACTTTCTTCAGTTCGTTCCTTCTCAAATGGGAGAACAATCTTTCTCGTCATTGTTTAACAATACACGTCCACGATTAAGGTAAATTTCCAGTTGTATTCATGCACGAAATGATTTAAAAAAGCAGAACACGAGATATATTCATTTCAAAATACTAGCCTTTAAGATCCTCATTACAAAATGACGATTTGTAAATAAATGGCGTAAGATTAAGAAAACAAATGACATCCTTTTATGTCCTCTTCCAAATAAAGCATTAGTCATGTATCTGGATAATTACATAAACACATTCTGAAACGTATTTGGAACTGACATCCCACTTGCAGTGAATAGGAAGAAACTTGTCATCGGGAACAGCGCACGTGAAAATTACAGGAAATGTCCTAACTACGTTTGAAGGCAGACTAGATTCAATGACGATGGCAATAATCTCCATTTTAATTAATATTGTTTTGGCTAGAAAACCTAGAATCAATTTTGACGTAAGTTAACACCTGATTTAACACGAGAGTTATTGACAGAACGAGAATAGACTAGTGTTGTTGACGTCGCGGTGGCAGGAAACACTCGTAAATTACAAACAAGTTATCATCATTGCGTTAATCAAATTGCATTCTCGTTCAAATCTCTGGCATAACATGTATAAAACAAATAACTTAGAATCTTGCTGCGCAGGAAACCCACCAAAAGAATTCTACAGCGGGTAGGACAATGTTGAAGATAATGGATTCAGCGCTGAATGTAACATTTTTTTGTTTTAGAAAATACTGCATTAATCGTTTTCATTCGAACAGTTCTGTCTAGTTACTAACAATTTTAAAATTATTTTTGTTACACGTCTTCGTCCCCGCCAAGAGAAGCCTCCGTTTAATGTTTGACTAAGTGTAAGGAAAAGCCAACAAGAAGTGTACAAGTTGTCTCATTCTCACCCATCAAAAGTGGCCTCTTTATTCACTCAAAGACATCTGATGATATGTACTGATCAATTCACTGGTACATCCGACAAACAATAGTATATAACTGGGACAATCATTCTCTTGTGACCAGTAAACAGAGTGAGAGAAGAAGCAGCGAGCGAAACTTTTCCCAGACTCCACTTCTTTGAACACACACCGATACAAGTGGAGCCCCAAAAGCAAAAAACTCACCTGTAATATCGGAATGGGTGTAAACCGAAGACGAAGTGACTCCTGAAAACACCACTTGGGAAGCTCTTCTCGCGGCTTTAGGAAGCGCCTCCCCCACAACACGTCCTAGTTGACGAGTGGTCTAGCGGAGACCCACAACCACCAACTCACAAGTAATAATATCACCGAAGACTCGAAACCTGACCACGCGCCCTTTCACCCGGGCGGCGCTCGTGTCGCGAACGGTCACACCCTAACCGACACAAACACACGCGTTGCGATATACCGGTGAACCCGCGCGAAGGCCGTGCCGAAGACTAGCGGCGCCTCGAAGTCCGACCACGCGCAAGCGGGACTCTTTGCCCTGGACGCAGCTGACGTCACGCCCGGACTGACCGGCACAAACACGCGTGTGATATATCAGCGAACGCGTCCTCGACGTCGGACCACGCGTGAACCCGCTTTGCGTCACTCCCACGCCGAGAGCGCGGGCGCGGGGCGGCGCGTCGAGGATGTCCGGCGAGGCGAAGTTGGAGGCGTCCGCGCCGACCCGACGCGCCTCTGAGACTGCTCGCTGCCTGCGTGCACCGGCGCGGCGCGGCGCGCGCGTGACGTCACGGCCGCGTCCACCGCCGCGGAACGCCGCCGCGCCGTCGAGGGTGCGCCCGCCGCCGCCCACGCCTTCAGCCACGGTCAGGACGGTGGAGGAGAGGGGGGTGGTAGGACGGGGTGTAGCGGGGTGGAGGACCTGACCTGCGCGGGCGCGGAATGAATGGAGCCGGCGGAGGAATGTTGTTTTGCTTTCCGGGGGCTGCGCTCCCCTGCCTGCTGCTAACCAACTGCCCCGGAGGCGCACGCGAGGGGCGGAAAGACGTGGCGGACCCTCCGACCGAACACTCCAGAAAACTATAAGTCGGAAAATAACTTTTTAAATATCGTGGAGGAACTGAAAGTTTTATTGCCCTCTTATTATTACCTAGGACTTCTTTCCTTTCTATTGTCCTTTCAATTTTTTCTATATTCTCCTTGTTAGTCTTGCTATTTTTTTCTTCTTTTCAATTTTTCGTTTCTCCATATCTACATATTTTTATTATTTTTTATTTACAATTATTTTTCTTGTTATTCTGTATCTTGTTGTGTAACACCTGTAAAGAAATGATAGCAATTAAATTATCAAAATTTGGCAGTTCTTAAATTCACCAGCCACTTATCAAATGTTGAAGGATTGTTTAAATTTAGACATATTCTGCAATTAATTTGGGTCAGTTTTGGCAGAGGGGATCGACATTCCGCTGTGGTTATGCCTTCCGCACTGAAGTCACAAATTGAAGAGTCTCTGTTTTAAGCAGGATTCGAAACCACAATCCTAAAGCAGAGCAACTGCATCCTGAAACATATTTTTCATTTCTTTTTCCATTACATTTTCCATTTTGAAATGCATAGCTTTATCCATTTAATTTCAGCCTTTCTTCCATTTCATTTTCGTTTGCTGTTAGCGCTCCTGAACGGTTCTTGAATTTCAGTTGATCGTATTTGCATCCATCAATTCGTCACTTCATCGTCACCGTCATTCTTAGAGTGTAGTTTTTCATGTTTGAATGAGGTCATCCGCTTAGAATAGTGCAGCAATGATATGCATGTGTGTGTTCGCTATTTAGATAATGCACCACTTCATTTCTCCTCAGAGTTGGCACTCTTTGCTGAAGGCTATTGCGACGCTTCCTAAAATGTAAATGTACATGATGTCACAATATGAAAGCTGAATAACAAGTGTATTCCGCAGAAATTCGGAATCTTGGTGGATACAATCTCAATATTTTATGTACGTTCGATGAACATGCAATGAACCGAAAGAACTCAATGCAATCATTATAAATTAACTATTCCAAAATGTAACTGCAGCAATTGAAGTGATAGTGTAGCCTTTCAAAGTAAACTATCAGTTTTGTCAGAATCGTATGATTAATAAATTACGAGAAGATAAGAATACAATGTGATCAGGCAATAAAATATTTAACTGCGTAATTAAACCATGATTGAAAATGTTGTTCAGACATTTGTATCAACATATTATGGACTCTAATGACCGTATGGAAATTTCGGTTACGTTCAAGTTTGTAGTTCAAGAAACGTAATGTTCGAGTCTCCCATGTCAAAATATATTAAACAAAGTATGGGTAATTTGTCTCGCCCAAGCGCATGAAATCGAGAGCCAGTAAAATCTTCTTAGAGCGTAGAAATAATATAAAATTAGAATATATGAAAGATACCAACTAGCGCACATTTACAGTGCTTCTTTGTTCTAACCACTACTCAAAATTCAATCCCACATCTCATATTCGCTTATACATACAAATGTCTAGACGATAATTAACCAAACAAACGTATTGGAAGAAAAATTGAAGTCATTCTGAGTTTATCCTTCAAAAACGATCCGGAAAAAACACAACAAAAAAGTGAGAGCATCCATTAATAGCATCTGTTAACAGCGCGAAACAAATGCCTATTTCTCGAAGAGGGTGAACGATATCCTGATTTGACAGCAAAAAATAAGAAAAGAAGCGCAACTGCCCTACCCAGAATTTATTTTTCGTGTTAAGCTCAACTTCAGAACTTTGAACATTAAACATCAAAACTAAACAGAGGGAGAATATTTTAATCAAAATTATGCAAAATATTATTACGAAATGTCATAATGAGAAAGTAAAATACACACACACACACAAATCAAAATGATACGTGATCCTGTCAATTTAGCGATAGCAATACACTGTGCTATTGCATTTGTTTTTAACGTAACGTTTAGATGGAAAGGAAACGGAAAAGTCAATCGGCTAATGAAACTTTAAACGGTCACACATGGTTTATTTGTTGGCGATTGTAGGTATGTACCAGTTGCGCTAGAAACTCTCTATTTGGTTTCGGGACTGATAACTTATCCGGTTCTGTGCAGACCAGGTAAAAATCGCTTCTCCCCCCTCCCTCGTGGAAACAGCCACTAATCTTAGTAGGAATGTCCCCAGGTACTCGTACCTGCTGCGAAACGTTCTCCGAGCAACGGAATGCGGTAGTATAGGGGCGATGGGCGAAGCACTGCTTGCAAAGATAGCGACCCACTGAAGCCTTTCCACACATTCTGTTCCAGGTAGGGTGACGAGACGACCTGTTTAACCGGACATGTCACCCATTCTTTGGGTGTGTAAGACGTGTGACAACGACCAAGGAAATTTAAAAAAGACATGTTTTTCTTCAAGTTTATTTAGTTTTTTTATTTTTTTAAATTAATTTTTTTAATTTAATTTTTAAATTTTTAAAAATTTATTCGGTATTTCGTGCGATCGGCGTCCTAGATCGGCACCAGCGCGTCCATGCAACGCAGGCAGTGTGCAATCGCAGCTCAGGCCGATGGCGAATGTCTCCGAAGTCTTCAGGACGCACCGGGTGGCGACAGCGCATGCGCGCGACGTCCCCCCAACTCAACGGCGAAACGCGCGAAGGCGTTGGATCTCGATTCAACGTGCTGCTAGTGAGCGAGTCACCGCGATTGCGATATTCTCTATTGCGAGTTGCAGCGAGTTTGCAGATTTTCGAAAATCATGAAATTAGTGTTATATTTCATAAGGACAGTGAAAAGTAGTACTAAAGTTTTTAAGTAATTGCTTTTATTCCATTTTGTATGATGAAGAGAAACTAGTAATTTATTATGGGCAACCATGTCCTAACCTAATAATATTTCAGAATTAATTTTTAAAATGAGTCCTGAAGAATGGGAAGAACGTCGAGCATTTATTTTTAAATGCTTTCAAATGTATGATTCCAATATTTGTAATAGAAACTACAACACCCTCATTGTTGTTATTTTGCGGGCCCTCATTCTTACAATTTTATACTTTGAAATAAATAAGGATTTTGTTTCTATAATTCAATTTTACTCTTAATATGTTTACGAAAAGAGTAGTGTGGGAGTTATCATTTTCCTCCACTGCCAACGGCCTGAGACGCCACTGCAGGTCCTGACTTTTATACTTTTGTCCGGGGTCCGGTAGGATTTTTTAAAACTCACTAAATGTCCTTTCCATCAACTCGGAGAAGGATGAGGATATTTTGCAGCGAGGCTTAGACAAATTGACAACATCTGAGCGGAAACCAACGCAATGGAAATTAACAGTTCAAAAAGCAAGTCCATCACGTTTGGTAGGGAGTCGAAGTTACAATGAGTCTGCGTACAAATTGAACAATAATGTTAAACCTCGAGTCACGTTTTGCATATGTTTAGAAATACAGCTAGACAGTAAATCGTGCTGGGAAAATCAAGTCAATTTCCTAGTAGGGAACGCCTGGGAATCTTTACATTTTGTTATGCGGATTCTGAAAAAGAGTACAGTGAGAGACAAAGAACTATCAAACATGTCTTTAGTGCAACTCATAGTAAAATACGGCGCGATATGTTCGAACCCATACAGAATTTTGCAGCAAAGGAATCTAGAAAAGGTCCAGCATAGAGCATCAAAATTTACTTTCGGGGGTACCACGGATAAAGTAGTATGGGAGTCCCTCGAAAGGGGGAGACTTAAGTCGCGTCTCTATGCAAGCATACACAAAGCCTTCGAGGGAGCAAAGAAATTCAAAGTCGATTATGGAAACCTATATATTTCGGCAGAGCGGATCATTTGTACAAAATTCAGACAATAATTCAGAATACGACGTTGGGAGATATTCATTCGTAGGTCGGCGCCGGATCTCCCAATCCAGCGGGGGAAGATCACCGCCGCCTCTCGAGCAAAAACATGCACTATACTTACGGAACTAATGTCCTTAGTAGTTGACGTGCCCGGTATCATTATCAATCCATCAACCAATCATTAAAAAAACATGGCAACGCCTGTGGATTTGCTCCCCGCCGTCTTCATTCCGCGGGAGAGACAGTTGCGAAACGAGGAGATCAGGTGGCGGGCGATCGCCCGCGGGCGAACGGGAGCGCGACGCGCGGCGGAGCGGAGCCGCGGGGCGACACGCCCGCCGACCTCCCTTCGTAGGGTCGAGGCTCTTCCTGCCAACGGCTCAGTTGAAGAGCGGGGGGACGTCGTTGATTTTATTTTACACGAAATTTGGAAACATGGCGAAAATACTGCATAATACTTAAAGTCCGCAAAAATATAACGAAAATGACTACGGAAACCCCCTTTAAAAACCTAGTGGTCTTGTAGGAATGCTGATGAGGTGTTGACACTCGTCAAGACTTAGACTAAGTTGTGTAGAGACAATCACAGTTGACAAAGATGACTTCCATTATTTCATCTTTGTAACTAGTTGGGCTACAACATTATATATGATCTCCAATTATTTTTAAATTTGCAATGTTCGAAAATTCAGAGATTTTAACAAAATCTGGATCTGCGCCATTTTTATATAAGCATACTTTGCCCCATCAAAGAAAAAGGTTTTGCAGCGAAATAACAATGAATGACACCACTTGTTTTGAGTTTGTAATTTTCAGTTAAGTTTCTAATTTCGTAATTTAGGCTACTATACATTTATAAAAATGTATGCGACTTATCTCTTTAAAGTACGGGTCACTTCAAGCTGTACTTGATGTTAGCGACAGAGACTAGTAAATCTTGCTGTAGAGTCAATAGTACAGAATTTACACTACATTTCTCAATATATTTATATATTGTCCAAATGCAAAAGGCATTGTAATTTTTAATTCAACATGTATCAATGTTGCAATGTTTTAAATACAACACAACGCGATCAAAAAACGAGATCGTTTCGTATCTTCAACAATAAATTGTGGAGCTACCACAACATACTTTCTCGCATTTTTAATAACTTTTGCAATTTAAAAAAATTCAGCGTTCACCGAAAGTCAAACTTGTGCCATTTATATAAGCGTACTTTGCAGTGTTGCAGGAAAAAATTAATAACAAATTGAGCCGTTTTTGAGAAAATAGTTTCTTAAAACTTGCATGCAATTCGCGCAAAAACACGCTAAAACGACTGGCCGTTACCGTGTGTTGCAGGGCGGAGTTGAGCAGAACAGGACAAGTGGGCGGCGAGGGTTGTAGACGGGACGAAACAATAGTACGATTTATGTAGTCGTGATTTACTTGACGTAAATCAGCTGTTGTGGTTTCATCCAAGCGGGAGCTTATACGTCGCTTGGATGACATTTTATGGACATTCAAGCTCCCGATTGGATGAAACCGTGAACAGCTGATTTACGTCAGGTGGACGGTTAAATAAATCCTAGTATAATGCTGAGTTAGAAGACGACGGCGGGGGCGCGATTGCGGCCCGAGAACACCACTAGGTCGTAACAGCGCTGACGGAGCGGAAGACGAGGCGTAATTCTTTTAGTATATTGTAGAAAGGAAGAAGATTTATTCACTATTTCAATATCAGGGCCCCACAATACGAGTTTTTCTGTCGATATATCGCTAATCTCCGCTGTAGCATTTCAATTTACTACTTAAATTGACCATTTGTTCTTACTACGTTTTCTTCAATATATGCTCTGGGGAAACCAAGGGGTTTCAAGTTGAATTGAATTAAATTTATACCTTTTTTTACGTGGCGAGACTCGGCCCATCAGGCCCGCTCTTCCGTCTGACTACGCAAATTTCGCTACGCTCCTTTCTTGAACTAGCGGAGAAAGGAGGTATTTCTTGGGCGATGAAAGTGGATTATGGTATTATAAAAAAACTGCAATCAAATTAAAAGAAGTTATAGATGAGGTAATTTCAGAAGAAAAGGATACGAAACATGTCCACATTTCTATTTCTTTCCTCTAAAAGAATGAGATCATACTGCCTTTCAGACAGCATAGTGAGAAACTGACCAGGACTAGCGAGTACAAGTGTTTTTACAAGTGTTTCCTACACGATTCATCAACTACATTAATAATATTGTACTTTGAAAAGTGTACTAATTGAACTTTTACCTAAGCAACAGAAACTAGATGTAAAATAAGAAACACAATGATGGGTAGAACACGGAATATTTGGAAAGATAAGTGGCAGAAGAACAGGAAAGAAGCCCATAATTTGATCCAAAAATACCCTCAGAAGTCCTATCCCTGAGCGATTCGATACCGTATCACGTCGCTTTCCGCGTCATCAGGCGTGCTCGGGAGCCTCCGAGAACGAGCGTGTGACGCATCGGCTCGGCCGCAACGTGGCGTGGCGTGGCGTGGCGTGGCGAGGAGATGGCGGAGAATAGGCGGGCGCTGCAACCGACGTTCCTCGCCCGCCGCGCCGCACGGCAAGGACAGCGGGAGGCCTTGGCCCTCGAGGAAGAGCGCGGAGGCCGCAGCTGGAAATCAGATTTCCACGAGTGCCTGTCACGCTCAGATAGTTGGCATTCCGCAATTGAAGTTTCGTGGACCGTTGGATTAGCTTCAAGTCTCGATGGCAGGGATTGTTGCCGTAAGGCGTAGATGGATCGCAGCTAACTGCTACCGATATGAGATTATACCCATGGAGAGTGCTATCTTAAACATTCTTAGGTTGGTAGTTAAACTAGTAATGCCACAACAGAACCCATTAATTATATACATTTATATATTATTTCTAAATTATGCGATTTTCGAAAAATTAGAACGTTAAATTTAACAAAATTTTAAAAAACGAAAAAAAAAATTAGATCTGCACCATTCTTAAGCGTTCTGTGGGCTAACCTTGGAAAGAAATTAAAGAAGTAAAATTGAAACGTTTTTTGAGATTTAAAAAAAATGCATGAACTGCAAGCAGAAATTTCGTAAAAGCTACTAGTTTTTTCAAAAAACTTCACATAACCTTTTAAGATATAATTGTTTAAATAAAGAAGATTTAAGAAAAAATCTCTATTACCAATATTGTAAGTATTACTGCATTTTATTTGCGATTTTTGATAATAAAGAGTTGCGGAAAATAGAAGTAGCGGCAGTATTTGTACCTTTCTTGGCTGCATTCGTGAACAGATTATTTTTAATTACAGCCGTTTTTGAGAAAGTAAGGGCCTATATTTTACGCAAAATTACGCGAAAACTAATATTTTCCAAAAATTGTGCGTGACCTAATTTCAAGATCTGTCTTTGAACAACACATTTCATTAAGAAGGAAATCTCTACTATCAATGTTGTCGTTTTAGGAAGACGCCGAACAAATTTCGAACTCCCTCAAAGGGAGAAATTAAATAAAAAAATCGGATCCATTTTGAGCAAATTTTGAAAATGTTGAGGCTGCATGTGAAATACGATGAAAAATCAAAATATCCATTTCAAACTCGCAGCGCCCCGCAGAACCCCTTTAGATCGATTGGAGGACAGCTAACAATTTTCGATAAAATCGCATATACGTGGATATATACGAGGATTCTGACTACACAACGTGATAGAGAAAGTAATTTGCTACATTTCTTTTCGTCCTAGCTTTCTTCCCGTTTCTGCGGGACCGGCGCTAATTTGGGTGGACTCTGTTTTCGTTGATTTTCCGATGACTTCTATCATGATTTGACGATACTTTTACGGCTGGTGCCCTTCCTGACCATAGGTGTCACACAAGCACATTACACATAGTCAACACAAATAATCATGCCCGAGGCGGGATTCGAACCCACGATCCTTCGGTCAATATCGCCATGGCACTACTGGCTTAGCGACCTCGGCTACACGGATCGGCAAGTAATTTGCAACATATAGGAAGAAATATTATCCACTTTTTCGTTACCAGGGCCCGACAACAAGAGATTTTCTGCACAAAACTCGCCGATTTCCCCCACACGATTACAATAATTATTCTTTACTACACGTACGTAGTGAGGTGGGAATCCAAAAATTGGGAGACCTACACTCACAGAGGCGTGGAGAGGGGCCCTGTCGGAATCCTGAAACCCGCGGGGCGGGCCCGATCTGCGATAACGCGTCCACGGAAGCGGACGCGATGACGCGGGGACAGCGCGACGAGCGCCTGACTTCATGTGCGAATGACGACGGGGAAATCTAGGCTCGTGCCCCATATAGAGCGTAACCCGAACAGCCCACGCCACCGACTTTGGAAGCGAACTCGAGACCGATAAGAGGTCACGCAACGCGACCAGATATATTGCGGTTAGGTGGGGGACAACGGAGCAGGCGATGCAATGCGCGTTTGAATGTTTGCTAACCTTTGGATTGGGTGACGTTTAAGGGTGACGCAGAGTCGGAATTAAATCGAACGTAATTCTGATTCATGTCTAAAAGCTAATCAGGGATTGTTTTGACGTATTTCTACTTTGTTTTGAAGTGAAATGTAGGATAACATACCGATTGCATTTTTTAAAACAGAAAGTCATTTTGTTATTAGTTTATTAAAATGGTTTTTATATTTATGCACTAAATTATTCGTACACAATGCACATACATTATTCTAACATAAGAATATATTCTGGGTTAGATAAAAATTGAGAAATAACTGAACTAAGCCAAGATTTGCAAGTTACAAGACTGATAGAAAATCGTATGAAAGAGAGACAAATGATAAAACACGATTGTTAATTTAAGAAATGAAGGTCTATTAACAATATCCTATAATACACACCATTGTCCCATATATCCCAACCATATATAATAGTTGGGTTATTACAGAAATTTAATACTTTACAGGAATATCAGCACGTACAAGTACGGTTCTATTTTCGTAACTATTATATTCTTTGACAATGTCATACAAATTATACTAAAAATAGTAATGATAAAAATCTGCAATTTATATACATCTAGAACATTTCACATAATAAATTCTACGTAATATTCCTATATGCAAACATATA